CCGCGCCCGCGCGGGGCCCCCGGGCCTTGGCAGCGCAGGGTGGGGCGCGGGCGTCGGACCCCGAGGCGTCCTGTGCTGCCGATCCCTGACCGACTCATGTTCTCCAACTTTCCCCAGTGCTCCCACTCGGCGGGTGTGTCCCGAGCGGTCGCACTGTCTTCCCGCCAGGGCGCTGCGGCGCGCGGGGAGCCCGGGGATTGCAAGCGGACTGTGCCCCGGGGCGCAGCCGGTCCCCGCGAGCCCACCGCGAGAGGACCCACCCAAGCCACTCCACGGCCGGCGGCGCGAGTTGAGGACCTGAAGCCTTTGGGGGCTCCCCCGCCCGAACCCTGCGGACCCCACTGGACAGGCAGGGCTCGCCTTGCAAACTGGGCGAGATGCCGCAGGGAGGGGACGGAGGGGCCCGAACTCGCAGGCGCCTCGGGCCACACGTTCCCACCTGACCTGTCCCTTCCGGCCGCGGCACCGACGGCAAGGATTGCTCTGGGACGCTGCAGCTCTGCGCCACCCCACCCTGCACCCGGCGCCGGCCGCCCCAGCCTGCCCCGGCCGCCGCTCCAGCTGTGCCTTCTCCTACCTGTGACGTGCTCCACGCCCTTCATTTCCTTGTCCACCCCCCTGAAATGCCAGTGTTCCTCAGGCCCTCTCCTTATCTTTCACGCCCTCCTGGATAAGTTCAGGCCCGCAAGGCCTCACACGTGGCCCTTACACCCTTAACTCCCAAACTTTCCCCCTGCAGCCCTAAGCGCCTCCTCGGTGCCAGACCTGAGCTCCCCACTGCCGACTGCTGGACTCCGCCAGGAGATCCTGGGGACCCCAAATCCAGCAAGTCCAAAATCAAGCGCATCTTCAACTCTGCCGTAAACCTGTGCCCTCTTCTCCTTCTGGGACTCAGTTATTGACTTTACCCTCCCCTCCCTCCCACCCTCCCCCATCCCAGGAAGTCGGCTGACACCTTCCTTCTCCATCCTTCCCGGCATCCAATCCATAGTGCCTCTGATTCTGCTTCCAGAGCTTTACTTCTCCCCACCCGGAAGTCATGTCCCAGGTGGGTCCCTCTTCACAGCTGCTCCCACCATCCCTCCCTAGTCTCTGCTCTAGGTCCTCACTCACTGCTCCATCAAGTTTCTGTAGTCCTCACCAACACCATCATTCTAGAACACACCTGGACCTGCCATTCCCCCACCCAAAATCCTTCTAGCAGTCACCAGACAAGATAATTAAGAATATTGTCAGGCAACGGGAAAAGATGCTTGTAAAATAACGTTAAGCAAAAAATAAAACATGGAGGTGACTGCTAGAGTAGAGGGTTTCTTTTGGGATGATGAAAATATTTTAAATGTGATGGTTCAAATGTGATGGTTGCACAGCTCTGTGAGTACACTAAAAACTATCCAATTATACACTTTAATGAATGGATTGTACGGTGTATGAATTATAACTCAATGTAACTGTAATAACAACAAAACCCCTCAGCCTCCAACAAGCATGACCAGTAATATCTGCCTATGAAACAACAAGGCAACAAATTCTCCAGAAGCACTCACAGTAGAAGCCCTGGCTGAGTGAGGTTATTACAGAGGATTTTCCCTCTATTCTCCATGCGGTTTTGTTACTTCTACAATGAAAAAACTTGATTTTAAAATATTGGAGAGCACATGAATTCCACGCCCTGGCTATCTGAGTTCTGACATCACCTTCTCCACCACCCACGCTCCCACAGCACTGGACACAAACTACTGTTACCACACGGATGATAAACTGGAACCTCAGAGATATCAAGGGACTTTCCACGAGCACAAGGCGAGGGTAGGGCACAGCCTTGCACTGGGGGACCCTTCCCTACTTGGGTGATTCAGGGAGGGTTTCCTGGAGGAGGCTGGGCTCTGGAAAGGGAGAAGGGGGATTCCAGGCACAGAAAATGCTGGAGCTGAGCCCAGGGCCCAGAGGCTGCAGGATATGCGGGAAGCACACAGCAACCAGATGGCTTCCATCCCACTGCCTCCTCTCCCTCTGCCAACTCTCCAGCCACTACTGCTGGATAATGCTCTGATCCATCATGGCCCTGCTCAGAGACCTCCCTGGGCTGGCGCCCAGCACTTCAGCAGAAAGAACCAATACTCCATCCTGGAAGTTGAAGCCTTCCCTGGTCGGGCCATCTTCCTTTCTCTACTCCCCTGGGCATGGCTGTCCTTGAGCAAGCCCCTTGCCCTCACCTCTGCCCACAGGGCTCCCCATCTGGATACCTCCCCACTACCAAGTCTTGTCCATTCTGCAAAAGCCACCTCCCCAGGAAGAGCATATAACTTCTTTATTCTCTAAATTGTCCTGCACTTCTTCCTGATCACCCACTTCATCGGCGAGCAGAGATAACTTAGATTTGCCAATTTACAATATTTTAGCAAAATTATCAGGGTGAAGAGAAGTTCCAGAATGACTGCCCTGCAGCATTCCTGGATAATCAATTCAGATTGGAGCAAGAAGAATGAAGAAATGTCTCCAAGAAAGAGTAGAAAGAAGCTATATTACCTGGTATGTTTGACGTTATCAAGAGAAACCTTAAATATACCTCAAGGACTTAGCAAATAATTAGTGATAGGTACTTGGAAACTAAGCAAAAAGGAGGCAATTAGTAACTCTAGGAAAAACAGAAAGTTGAACAAGAAAGAAAATGCAATAATAGTACATATGTGTCTCAGTGTAAACATAATCATACAGCCACAGTATTGTGACGTGGAGGTTCTTAACCAAAGTGATACTGACCCCTAAGCTGAAGAGGGTGTTTAGAAATATGTGCACATGTTTTTGGTTCCTACTTTTGTGTGGCCACTACTGACACTTTGTTGTCAGAGACCGGGGATGATAAATGTCCTTTACAATGAAGAATTGTCCCACTAAAATGCCAAAATAGCCCTTACTGAGAAATTCTGATGTAAAATTGAATACTGATTTAATAAAAAATTATGATAAAATTTTATTGAGGACCTGGCAGTGGGGAGGTGGAGAAACGTGTGTGTGTGTATTTAGATGGGGCAGGGGTGGGGTGGTTAAGAGTGCTGCCGCCTAAGTGGCAATACCAGTTGAGGCTAAAAGAGGCTTGCCAAAAACTTAAAAAGAAAACCAGAAAATGAGATGTCCACAACGCGCTTTGAAAAGCTTTGACATGTTCCTTGGAATATAGAAGGCTACATACATGTGCATATGCCCAGGAAAGACCTGAAAATACCATAATCTCTCACTTTTGGCTGATTTTGAGGCTCTATGTAGGCGGGAAGTGAAGGCTAAGGCAGAGTTTTAAACTGTCTGCCAGAGCATTGACAGCATGCCCCAACACACAGGCTGAGCCCTTCTGCAAAGGCTGGGAGACTCATGGGTTCAAGGCATTTAAAAAAATCTCTGCACAGTCATTAGCTGACCACTGAACTAACTGAGCAGAGACTTCAGTTGCCACACGTGACAAAGAATATGGACATTACAGAATTAGTCCAGGAAGTTCACTAATCAAACAGCAATAACAACAATAAACAACAGCAGCTACATACCCTGGGGAGGGAAAGAAACTGATTTTCAGAGTTGCCCAGTTTTCAACAAAAAATTATGAGACCTACATATAGACAAGAAAATATGGTCTAAACAGTCAGTAGAAACTGTCTCTGGGGCCAGCCCCGTGGCTTAGAGGTTAAGTGCACGCACTCCGCTACTGGTGGCCTGGGTTCGGATCCCAGGGGTGCACCAATGCACTGCTTGTCCTGCCATGCTGAGGCGGCATCCCACATACAGCAACTAGAAGGATGTGCAACTATAACATACAACTATCTACTGGGGCTTTGGGGAGAAAAAGGAGGAGGATTAGCAATAGATGTTAGCTCGGGGCCAGTCTTCCTCAGCAAAAAGAGGAGGATTGGCATGGATGTTAGCTCAGGGCTAATCTTCCTCACAAAAAAAAAAAGAAAAAGAAAAAAGAAACTGTCTCTGAGGAAGCCCAGATATTGGATTCACTAGACAAAAAATTTAAATCAGCTATCATGAACATGTTCAAAGACTGAAAGAGACTCATGTCTAAAGAATTAAAGGAAAGTATGAGAATGATGTCTTACCAAATAGAGAATCTCAACAAAGAGATAGGAATTATGAAAAAGAACCAAATAGAAATTCTGGAGTTGAAAAGCACAAAAACTGAAATGAAAAATTTAGTAGAGGGGTTCAACAGCAGGTTTGAAATAAGAATCAGTGAACTGAAGAAAGGTGAATTGTAATTATCCAGTCGGAAGAACAGGGAAATAAAAGACTGAAGAAAAATGAACAGAGTCTCAGAGACCTGTGGGACACCATCAAGGGTACTAACATATGCAAAATGAGAGTCCCAGAAAGAGAGAAGAGAGAGAAAGAAGAGAAAAAAAATTTACAGAAATAATGGCAGAAAACTTCACAAATTTGATGAAAAAAATAATCTGCACATCCAAGAAACTCAATGAACTCCAAGTGGGATAAAATCAAAGAGATATACATTTAGACACAACACAGTCAAATTGTCAAATCCAAAGTCAAAGAGAGAATCTTGGAAGCAGCAAGAGAAAGATGACTCATCATGTGCAAGGAATCCTCAATAATATTAATATCTAATTTCTCATCAGAAATCATGGAGACCAGCAGGCAGTGAATAACATATTCAAAGTACTGAAAAAGAAAGACTGTTAACCAAGAATTCTATATCCAGCAAAACTATTCTTCAAAAATGAAGGAGAAATTAAGACAGTAGGTAAACAA